TATTGTTTTGAGTGTGTGCAATCATGTGCATACACCTTTATGTGGATAAGTTGAATTGGCCATTTTTTGTATTAAATTTTCTTTCACAACATTAGAATCTTGCAAGGATCAGTTTGTATATTTAAACTATAATATTTTATCATTATAGTTGCTATATTTTTTATTCTTCATTATTATGAAATACCTCAAATATTTAATCATGAATTAAAAACTAATAAGAAGGTTGTATAGAGAAGACTACATACACCTTAAAAACTACATGCGCATGTTGGTCAAGGTCTCAAACTCCAACTAAAGAAGTTGTAATTTTGGTAAGAAAAATTGAATAACAAAATTTGGTCTTAGCCTCTATATATTTGTTAGTGAATGAAACTTACTGCTATTCAAAACATAGTTTGTTTTTATTTTTAAATAACTATTTTTTATATAATTTTTATTATAGAACTAACTATTATTGACTAGCAATAGGTATGTATTGATTTATGAGTGTATTGCAAAAGGCATTGGTAGATCTTCTAAATACCAAATTTTATGCATTTGTAGTAATAGAAAGGATGAAAGCCATGGTTGTCGATATCAAACAAAGTTTTGACAAAATAGAAGAATCAAGATAAAATTTGATTCAACATTAACTTAGTTTATATATAATCAAACATAAATTAATTTTATTAGTATATAAGCTCCCATTTGAATGAACACACAATTCTTAGTAAATAATAAATAAAAAGAAAAATACATTAATTTGTTATGATAGAAGTATTTTTTAAATCCATTCAAATTATTTGATCATTAGGTCATTCTAAACTTTCAATATATTCATATGAGGTATAATATCTCTACTATTAATTCAAGTATATTAGAGAAGAAGCTATTGGTGATGCACTGAGATTGATCAATAATGAACCAAATACTATTGATAATAGAGAGGTAGAAGAAAGTGAAGCATAAACATCTAAGAAAAGGCAAGTATAGATATTATATCATTTAACTTTGTAATTATTACAATGGTAGATATTAGTACTTGTGCCTTTGGCATATTTAAATTATGATGGATTTCTTTGTATTAAATTAGTAATTATTCTATTTTTTAAGCTATGTTGGCAACCTTTTAGGTAATTTACTTAAGTATTTTTTAAAGTTATTTTCATAATAACAAGTTCTAAGAGCTTCTTTTGTACTTTTTATTAGTAGGATATAATGAGCTTGTACTTTCAACTAACCTCTTCAAGTAAGATACTTAATTTGGTACTAGGAATAATTCCTTATAGAATGGACTAAGCCATCATCACAAGTAAGTTGACCAAATAATTAAAAAAACTAAGTATTGTTGTAAATGCACTTATACATATAGTTGTATTGATGTCCAAAGGAATTATGGCTAATTAAAATTATTCAAATACAAGATTCAATGCATACATTAATATCTTTATAAAAACTCTCTTAAAAAACTTAATGTTATTATGATGGTGTATATATAAGTATTCAAAGCTCTCTTAAGCCTTGATTGCTCTAATTATATTTGTTTTAAAAATGACAAAGAAATTTGTACATCATGAAGATCTTTTATAGAGACCTTCATATACAACTTTAAAGTTGAGTGTTGCCATGTTATATACAATGTAATAATACAACTGAGGTAGAAAGTATTATTCATCCAAAATTTTATAAATCAGCCTTTGTAGAAAATCTATATTTTTTAAAGATATATAATTAATATTTTGGTTAGAGTAAGAGCATATATAGCACATAAGCTCATCCATTGTCTATCAAAATCTTCCTCTATTGAGCAATTCATTATCATTTTCCATTCTATAAAAAAACCAATCCATCCATCTTTATCTTTGAATGGAAAGAATCTTTTGTACTTGACCAAAATATTCACTTCAATATGTTATATGCAAAAAAATATAAATATAAATATAAAAAATTAATATAAAAAATACATCTTTTATTGCATTTAGGAATGCCGAGTCTTTGTCAACACCAATATTAATAGGTTGTAATCCCTCAGATATCAATTTCAATTGCATTAATGTCTAGTACAAAAATGGTTGTGTGTTTTTTGAAGAAATGCAATCCCAACTCTAAAAGATGTATTGAAGCTCATAATTCTTGTGACATATAGCATACGCATCTAAAACATATTTGTCTTAAATGTATAATCTATAAAAATATTGTATGGATGTCTTTTTCTTAATTGTATACATTTAATATTAGCAAAAAAAAAAATAATCAATCTTGTTTATTTCATCACTTTGATTGACATAGTAATATGAAGCATTGCAAAGCTTTTCTATCAAGGTATAGATTGGTGAACGACTATGTATCATAGACATACATATTTACTTAAATAAGAAGTATTAAGTAGAAGATAAATGTAAGTAGAATTGATAATATCTTACAGCAAAGCTTCTTAGAAGCTTTATAGATGCAGATTTGACTTTAAATATATTTGTAGTTGATTGGTAGCTTAGAAACTTAGCCAACAAGTAAGCTATGTATTGCATGTATTGTACATATTGATAGCTTGTGTTACAAGCTAACCATATAGCACATGTATAGAAAACTAGTCCTATAAGTTACACATGTGTCTTGCAATTTGGATATGTATTAGAGGTCCTATAGAATGTCACTACATAGCTCTTAGTTAGATAGTATATATAGAGGTAAGAGTGAAATCTTCTTTATTCTTGTCAATATCTTTCTTGTCCTTAGTCTTGTTTCAAGAGACTCTAGTCTTATTATCTTTGACAATAGCCATTTTATTTCAATATTGTACTATCTTGAAGTAATTATCTAGTCCTTTTGAATGACATAAGAGTGTATTAGCCCTTTAGTTTTTTAAAATTTATATCCTTGATACCATGAAGATGAGCCATACAAACTTGTTGGTATTTGTTGTAGACGGAACACACAACTATAAGATTTGCAAACTTTCTTTGATGTAGAGCAATAATAATATTTCTTAGAGCTACCTTTGCTTTAAGCATCTAAGACATTAGAGCTTTTTATGCAGGTTGGAAGTGACGTACAATTGGATGGCCTACCAATGACACTAAGGAACAATGGTTGTGATTCCTACTTCAAACTAATAAATGTTGATGCTTATTAATATACAAATAATAAGTATATAATTAAAAAAGACACCTTGTTAATTGTTTAGCTAAACTACATTGATGAGTATATGCTTCAAAGCAACTGAAAGTATAACTTCTATTACAATTAAAGACAATATGGCTCCTATCAAAGCAATTTCAATAAATTGCATAACTTAAAGTATGCAAAAATCAATCCAACCATTTAATAATTTCTCCATATGAAGTTAACAATTACTCTAGAGGAGGGTCCATATCTAGTAACTTTTTTATTTTGTAATAAAAGAATTTAAAAATGCCTGCAACATCTTTTAAGATCAAAGTTAACACATTATGAGTTACACATATAAGATTTTGATAGTGAAGAAGGGCAAAGAAAAAACTATAAAGTGAGAGTAGCAAAGAATTTTGCCAATTTGAATATTATAAAGCCATTGTTATTTTTATTGTGGCAATTAAGTTTAAACTATTTATTGGTCATATTTCTATGGATGTATTGTGTTTATACATAAATTCACTATGATTAATTCTATTAAAATCCAATCATATTTATTGTGACATATTGCATCATGTCAATATTATTTTTAGTTTAATATTACAACAATAATTGCCATATTTTCATAATGATATACTTTTAGTGTAAATTGATAATGATATGATTAAAATAACAAAGGATGGTATCAATTTAATATTTTTATTTATTTATTTATTTATATTTTTGTTAGATGTCTTAAAATGGTGATTGATTATCTAAATAATTTCTAAAATATTTTATGGATTAGTTGTATATTACAATTTTATTCCTAACATGATTAGAAGAGTTTAGTAAGATTTATGATTTGAGGATTAACACATTTTTTAAATTCTATAATAATTTTAAACTATAAAAAAAGATTATGTGATCTTTTGAGAAAAATTCTTTTTTATAGAAGTTTTTTATCTTTTTTTAGATTTAGTTGTAATATTATATAAGAATTTATTTATTTTTGGATGAATATAAAAAAAAATGTTTCTGAAGATAGTAAGCCAAAAGAATTTAGACACCAATGTATTTTTTAAAATGGAATAAAATTTAGACTTATATGAGTATTCTAAAAGAAGATGGTTTTTTGTTAATTTAGTATTAAATTATAATTATATATACATGGTAAGATCAATTCAACCTACTTGTTAATGTCATATACTACTTTTGCATGTTGTAATATAGATACTTTGAGTATACATTCTACTTTTCTTTAGAATGTTAAATCTCAACCTTGGTGTCATATCTGCTCAACAAGACTTTGCTCCACTAATGGAACTTAAAGATTTGAAAATATGTTTTATATTAGCTCTTCACATTATGCATTCATATGATTAATGCATTTTTAATATTTATTAATTTACTTGCTAATACATCACTAACAACTAACCTTAGTTTTTGGTTAGAGTAGGAAAACCCTTATCTGATGTAAATTTTACATTCCACTATTTGGCCTTCCATTCTTTGCAGCCAAGGGGGTTGGCTGCACACAAGCCTGTGTGTAAGCCCACAGTGTCTTTATTAGGGGTATAGTGGGTGAAGATCTAATATTTTGTTTTCTTTGAACAAAATCGAAGAACAAATCACTTCATATCATTGGCAATTACGTCATTTCATTTGGTAATCGCCTAGTGGAGGTTGATAATCCAATGCTAGCTCTTCAGGCATTTTCATCCAAGCTTGAGAACCTGTTGCAAGCAGGTTCGCGGTTTACTCTGAGAAGCATAATTTTCTCAGACTTGCCCACACTATCACACTCAATGCACCGACAATGATGATTTTTATCCTAGCATCCACCTAAACAAACAACCTTGCTCCCAAATAGTGAGATGAGATCGCAACCATACAACGATCTTGTGTTATGTCATGATTCATGACTTCAATGCAGTAAAACAGTGGCATTAATTTCCAAAAATAAATGACAATCCTTTCTAAGTGTTTTTACTAAACCACTGACGGGTCACAAATTACATTGCGTAGATCGCTGCCATCGGCTAGCACCCATCGCTTTCCATATGAAAACATTGCAACAGCCATAGTCTCGTAATCACAGACCAAAGTCTGTCTACACTTTCTTCCTCTGAAGGACTGTTCATTAGAACTCTGTCCAAATTGTGAGCGGAGCAACGTCTCTGAGCCATTTTTCTTAACCTGTAATTTCAACCGATAAAATTTACAAAATGAGTGTTTTTACGTCTGGATGGCCAATCGATCAGCTTTGAGTATCAAAACCTCTCAGATCGTTACAATCGTTCGGCTTGATTTCTTCCAGGTTGATGTGAGGCTGACTTGCTTCTCCAAACATAAATGTGTGCAGATTCAGTTGTGAGGCTGCTCTGAAGTAGACACCAGTCGCTCACCCTTGTTTGAGGAGTTGCAAGTTATTCAGTGAAGCTTTACATTTTTGAACTAGAACATTGGAATGCTTCAATTGTAGGATAAAAGTGTTCCCGAAAAATTACTGGAGCAACCACGTTAGTCAATGTGCTATCGTCGGTTGCTGCACTAATCAACTTCAACAAATTGCTCAATTCCTCCACTGGTGGGTCTGCCAAGTTCCACAAACAAAACCATGTCTCGATCAAACACAACAAATTTCATTTCATTGAGACAGCAAATTTTTTTTCACCTAACAAAGGATTGAATCCAGAGAACGAAAATACTTTGAAACCACAAAGAGAGGAAACTGAAGAGAAGGAAAAACTTACAAGCCAACCAACACCTTGAGGGTGTCGTAACAAAGCCATTGCGCAGTGGCCATAGGCCCTACAATCATGATTCGCAATGGCAAGCTTCTCGTGAAAAGACCCGTCACTCCAATGCGCTTGGCAGCCTGCGCAGTGATCACGTCAAAAGTTGCGATAAAACAAAAACACAGAATACAAGCCATTCAGAGTCTCGACATACAAGAAGCCACTTCCATGAAGGAAATGGAAACAAGGCGGATGTAATAGTACAGATTGAAGAATAGGAAAGTAAATTGAAAGCAATAAGGGTGACCAACCTGAACCATACTGAGCTTTCTATTTTTGTTGACAGTAGTGATCAAAATGTCAGCCGGGTTGGAGATGATAGTGCCCGTCACTCCAGACATATATCCAGCCATACACGTGATCCCAAGTTGTTGAATTCTGGAACAATCGTTTTTGGGTCTCTGAAGAACATTCTTGTAGAGAAAATCAACAGAGTGCTCAAATGTGGAAAACATGAGCACAGAAACTGCAAACAGAATCTCAAATTAGACAATTAAACTGTGAAGGTTCCTTAAAAAAAGCTGCTAGAGAAGTAGCATGATAATGATCACAAACAAATAACGGAAAGACTCATGTTAAAGTATCACATGGCAAAAGACAACAACAAATGTAGCTGTTCAGAGTAATTTACATGGAATATTTCGTCCCCATAGTAGTGGAAGTCCTCTATACAGCCTGTGGATGCAAAGACACATGTCAGAAATGCAAAATCTTCTAGTTTGTGTGCATAAAAAATTGACATCATTCTGTTGAGTGGAGGTTAAAGACTACGATCTCTTTCGTCAAAGCCACACAACTGGGAGGGGGATGCTAAAAGGAATAAATGTGAAGGACGATATGTGACACACTTACCCTGCTAATCCCTCAGCACGATACAAGCGAGGAAACCCATCAACTAGACCCTTGGCATAACCCGTTTGCACCTTCACTTTCACCGATTCAAACGGGTTCAATGCCACGTCTGCGATGACCTGCGCCGACAAACTACCTGCGGCGAATATTGCAGTCTTGTTTTCTTTTGTGAACTCTGGACCTGCCAAATCAGCGTAAAATTTCTTGAAATACTCATACAACCCAAATTTGCAAGCACCTTGTGCACCATAACCAAATAGCTTGCTGCTCCAGCCTTTCCAGATGCCGCCTATTCCTTGCTCACGGTAAACAATGCCGAACCCCGACATTATAGATCTGTATTTCAAAGGATTCGCCTGCATAATCGCGACATACAACACATAGCTCAAAAGATATTCCACGAACACTGCAGTTGTGAAAGAACACGACTTACAACACAAACCGTGATACAATCTTTATCTCGAAATTGATGACACTCTCACAATGCTCAGAGAGTCAAGAATGGAAATCAATCAACCTGCATATTAACCTTGAGCATGTCCAATGGGGTGATGAGAAGATGAACAGAGCCAGCGGAGATCATGCCGCCCACCGCACATGCTGCGTAGTACTTGCTCGTGAAGAGCTCCAACTTGTTCGCCCGGATCTGAGCATCCCATGTCACCTCAGGCTCCCTCTCCACTCGATTTGACCCCACGAAAAGGCTTGCCTGGCCAACCATCCTTCTACCCAAGTTCAATATGTCTCAGCATACAACTGCAGCTGAGCACCAATTGTGTCTCTACGCCGATTCATGTAGCCAACCCACAATCCGATCGCACACCTGCAGAATCACGATCCTCTCCGGCCCATTGCTTCACAACCAAGTCACGCACAAATCGAATTCCGTCGCAGTCAGAGAACCCAAAATCCTAAACCAAGTTATCTGCAGGCAAGAAATGACTAACGAAAAGTACATCTACCCTCTACCCGCTGCGCTACACACAACGGTTTGCCTGCAATTTAACGATCCGCAAACGATCAAATTACAAATAGTTACATCACGGAAAAGTGCAATGTATGAGACTTAGAAAACAGAGAAAAAGCGTGAGATGACGAGAGACAGTGGACATGGATCGTAGGTTGGGATGGTTCGGGGGAAAGAGGGGGTGATGACAATGTAGACGCAAAGTGCGTGAGTGGAAAGGGGGGGAGGCGTGGGCGTAGCAACACCATTCTCCGCAATTGGAACCTGGAAAAACCTGGGTCCAGGGCCAGACAGCGCGGCGTGATGTAACTGGGAGCACACGTGGGTGTTGGATTGTCACTACATTTAGGTCGTGGTCGTCGTCTCCTCCGAGCCTCCGCAGCGATGCCGCCAGACTGCACGCGGATTCGAACCTGCGTTGCAGCCTCACTCTCTCTAGCGAATTGGCCTCGGAAGAAATTAACGAAGTTCATAGTCCCGACGAATGAAAGGCGTCCTGTATTAACGTACAGAAAACCTGCTCTTGGATGGATGAGAATAGTCGAAAAATTGATTATTGACCTGATTTAGATTATCTTAACCCATGTCTTTAATCAAAGGACATGAATATTTGATGTTTTATCTACAATAATTTATAACTTAAATTAGATTCTATAGGACCTACAACATGTGTTCATTTTGCAAGCCATATGTCTTAATTTACAAGGCAAGTTTTCCATGTGTGTACCACATAGTCAACTTATTCCACAAGCTACCTACACGTTGTCATGTTGTGATTCGGCTACCATGCAAAAAACATTGTGTTTATATGTTTAATCTACAATTTACTAAATAATATGATAAAAGGCATATTAATGGATTTTAATTGCTTACAGAATGTGATTAGATTACTATTTTAAAAGGATGTTGTTTAAAAGAAGTATTATTAGAATTTACATAACTTTATTTTCTTTTGATAATGGCTTTTAAGATTAATTTTGGTTGATAGCAACTTTTATATACTTAAAGTCACCTTTGGTAGACATTAGTGAGCCTTGCAATCTAATTTTGTTTCATTTATTTAATGATTAGGGCATATATTATGTAAATTTTATTAGAAAAAGGATTGGAGAGGGATCTTGGTAGCAAAAAGAGAAGTTAAGGCATCCATATGGATGATTAGAGATGGATGATGAAAATCTCTATTCTTATTGGCCAAAAATCATGTCTAATGGGCTTCAAGGAGGCTGTCCCAAGTCTTATTAGGGATAAGGGTTGCTCTTTTGAGGTGATTTGAACTTTAAAAGGCTAGGATTAGAAAGTTCAGAGTTTTGGCTATGGTTTTGGTGAAAATTTTGTGTGATTTGGAGTTTTTATGAAAGAGATATGGATGCTCAAAGTTAAGGTGATGATTTTGTATCTACTCTCACTCTTTTGAACATAACACATGCATACAAAAAGTAATAAAGGATCAGCGACCGGAATTAGAGAGAACACTTTCTTAGTTATACTTTTTGTATTTTTCTTGATGAATTCTAAACTAGAATGAAGGAGTTATATGAAGTTGAAATCAGCACTTGCAATCTAAGGGTAATAAATAATCCGATTTATTAGTAGTTATGTTTTGAGCTATATCTTGAGTAATTTAACAAGTTTTTGGCTAAATTTTTTTAAGAATGTGTATATTCATATTATTAAATATTTTGTATAAATTTTGTGGCATTTTAATTTTGGATTTTTGAGATATAAAGAAAATAAGGCTTAAATGCTTGTAAGTTAGGATTTAAAGCACCTACTAGGATTTCTAAGATGCTAAAAGTTTGGTAGCTAATTTATAGTTCATTTTTTTTTAGTAAAGCTTAAGCATAATAGCTATGTTATATAAAAATTGAAGAAAAAATGAATGATTGAATCAAGAGATATGAATTTTTAAAGTTAAAACTTAATTCTCTATAGTTACATATCTTGTGTATTTTTAGATTGTAAATCACACCACACAACAATGTGTGACATGTGGCTAACTTTTTGGTGAAGTTTCTAATCTAAAAGTCAACTTTAAACACATATTAAGTCAAAACCATATCTATGAAGCTTCTAAAAAGCTTTTTTAGAAGATATTTTGAAATTAATTTATTTTTATTTAGTTTTACTTACTTCTATTTAATCATATAGGTAATTACTAAAATAAGTATGTATGTCCATGATTATATATCTATGACATTATTTTACCTTCTAGGAACAAGTTGTATAAGGCATGATCATCATATGTTGAAAAAATTCAAGACATAGTGAATTAAGTTTATCACATATTTTGATCTTTATTATCTTTGAAGATGATTGATATGTCTTTTTAACTATCAATAATGTTTCATACCAAGGTAAGAAAACCACCTTGTTATTTTATCATTGTTGAAGCATTCATAACTTCTTTCAAATAAATCATTTAAAACATCATTAAGAGTTGTTCCTACCTCTAATAAAATCACTGAACATTGGGAGTTTCTTCAAAGGTCATAATACGAAGCACATTGTATCTTGTTGTCTATTCAAAGAAGAATATGTCATTCTTGAAGATCTTCAACTTGATTACATTATCTTGAAGGTTGAGACAATTATAATATCTCATTCAATAAATTAATAAATGATAGCACTTAAGTTGAATCTATTGGTTATTGATTTTTCATCTCTTAAGCACCACAATATACACAAAAGCTACAAACAAAGATAAAATGTAGAATATTATCTTCTCTTGATCTTGTTTTTTTACAACAAAGTTTTTATATTCTTCATCTAGATTTGATCCATATTGTAAATGAAAAGCCTCTATCTTCTTTGTTGTATTTACAAGATTCTTTGATGGCTCTCATATTCATTCACTAATATCATATCCTTGCCAAGGAACAAGATGTTTCAACCTATTTTGGTGCCGCTTTAAATTAGACTTCTTCTACTTCAAATTCTTCATTATTGTCTATTTCTATAAGAAGAAGTGGCACTTGTTTTCTTTTTAGTATGTTCACTGTCTTATATACTTCAAAAAAAACAAATAGAATATGGGATGGATCTTCATTGACTCTAATAGATATAATCAATAAACAACTGAATTGATTAGTTTACAAATAAGAAACGTTCCAAACTTACAATAGTCCAACTTGTCACAAAGACAAGTAGTCTTGATATTACAATAAAATAACCATACTTTGTCACCTATTTTGAATTGTAATTATTCTTTACAATAGGCATCTGCATTTATTTTTTTTCATACTTGAGCTTCATTTAATTGTACCTTAATTGTTGCATGTAGCTCTAACAAATAATTTATCAAATATTTTATTAAATGATTATCAACTCTTAAAAAATTAAAAGCATCAAGTTGTGGATAATAACCATAATAAGAAAAGAAAGGTATTTGATAAATAGAAGACTATATTATATTAATATAGGCAAACTTTGCTAATAACAAAGTCATGTCTTTGATAGATTGATAAGAGTATACTTAGAATATTAGTGCTTTATCTTTTCTTGATTAAGAGTGGATTACCTCTTTCTTTTGATAAGACAAAAGCATATTAGGAGTTGTGGATTATGCTCTTTTAAACTAATATTATTCTTAGTATTTTTTTTATTTTCAAGTCTTGTCTTATATTTATTTTAAGTAATATTAGATAATTTTTTTTTAAGTATTATGATAATACAGCTTCTTGAAATGAAGAGTGTAATTGCATAAATGCATGAGCAATTGAGAAAGTTGATGCTTACGATGCATCCACTTAGTTTATTGCTACAAAGAATAATAAAAATAGCAAAAAATGAAGATACAAATATTATTGAAGTTCCTTCAATATCCACACCAAATCACATCTCTTCTCCTATAATAAAACATCCTTCCAATATTAAAGAACCTAGAGTTATCTTGTCCGAGAAGTTTGTTTTGAATAAAAATAATAAGCAAGATACAAGTAAGTAGAAATCAGCAAGATTAGACACAAAAGAAGTGTAGAATGAGATACTTCCTACTTCCCACTCCCACTTTGCTATTGGTCAAAGGCTATTAATCCTAGTACCTTTGTTAACTTCTAATGCCTATTCTTTACTAGTACTTTTGTAAGGAAATCTGCAAGCATGTCTTCCATTGTACAATACTTCATATCAATCACTCTCATTTCAATTTTTTCTCTTATGAAGTGATGTTGAATGTCAATGTACTTAGTTCTTGAGTAATGCTTTGGATTCTTTGCAAAGATAAGGCATCCTTGATTGTCACACTTCATTGGAGTTGCTTCCAATTGCACAAGTCTAATATCTTCTAGAATTTGTATTAGCTATATTCCCTCCATTGCACCATGACTTATTGCTATGTATTCTCTCTTCATTCTTAACCTTGCAATTGATGGTTGTCTCTTATAATTCCATGAAATAGCTCTCATTCCAATAAAGAATACATATCTCCTTGTTGACCTTTTATCATTTGCATCTCTAATTCTTTTGCTGCCCCAATTGCCACAATAGTTCTAATGGTGGTGAATTTAGCCACAGGAATAGATATTTCATTAAAATCAATACCAACAACTTGTGAGTAGCTTTTGGCAATCAATCTTATCTTATATCTCACAACATTACCCATTATATCCCTTTTTATTCTAAACACCCACTTACAATAAATTGAAGCTCAATTTAGTAGAAGTTGAGTCAATTTCCATATTCCATTGTCCATGAGTGATTGATATTCTTCTTCCATGGCTTTTTCCCCCTTCAAAGTATCTGTGGACTTCACTGCATCATACAAATTCAATGAATCAATAAGAAGTGTAATATTGGCATGTTCTTCACTTACTTAAGGAAAGATGTGATTCTTCCACCATTCGCCACATTGTTTTCTATCTCTCAAAAGATATCTCCTTTCATATAGAAAAGACTCAACTTGTTACATTCTAACCTTCTTTTCTTTTGTAGATAGTCTTTTCTCACTCAAAGGTTGATAATCCTCATCACCATCATCATCAACATCTTTTTGCTCTTCATTGCTGGCCTTAGCATTTTTAAAGGCCTTGTTTTTTACCTTCTTTTCTTCTTCATCTTCATTTCCATCTTTACAACCATTATTGTCTTCATTTTCTTCGTTCTTTGCTAAATTTGAAGATGTGTCGACAAATACACTATTACTCTCACTTCGACACATCTCCAAGTACGTACAAGCATTCTTGTACTCTAAAAATTCAACATCACGACTTTTGATGATCTTTTTGGTTTCCAAACACA